GCGATTGCTGCATCGGCGGTTTGCGGCATAGGTGCTTGCGGCACTGTTGAACTCAGCTAGCAAGTCACTGTGTCGAACTTCCGCTGCCAAAAATGGCCCATTATTATTCAGTGTGAGTATCGATGGGAAACGACTTCAAATGGTGCGACTGGCAAAACCAGGACCGCACGTCTGCATAAGCAAAAAGAGGTATAGTGAGTGGCAGGAAAGAAAGAAAGAGGCCACCAATGTAGCGCCGAATTTGGCACACACAGACAAGAAAGGAAAGACACGCTAAAAGCTGACATTGCTCTCTCAAAGGTACTCTCACTGCAGGCGACCTAGACAGCAGTGTAGACATGATACAGTTAATTAACGCGTAATTTGCAGATATTTCTATACTGGTCGAACTGTCATAGAGAAACTGTGAAACTAAAAATACTTTCAAAAGTAGATGCCTTTCAGTATTTGTTTTTCAGTCATATTTGAACGTGCAAAAGTAATTTTTTTTTGTTCAATTAAAACGCAACAGCTCAGATGTGCGCATTTGCATGTTTACTTGCAGTATTGGCAAATGAAAGCAATTATTATTTATCTACCGATGTATACGTATTCCCATTTGAATTGCCGATCAAAACGAAAGAGCATAAAAAAACCGTTGCTTTAAAGTGAAGAAATAAATAATTCAACGGTACGGTTGTTGTTGTGTACATCTTTTCAAACAACAAAGTTAGCTGACTTTGTGCCGTACACTTTTCATATTCAGGCTTTTTGATCAGAAGTTAGTCTGCCTTTTCACTTTTTAACTCTGGAGTGCAAAAAGAAAAAAAGGAAAGAAAAAGAAAGAAAGAGAGAACTACTTAGAACTATGATTTGGAAGCAGCCAACAGGAATGGCAGCCAACGTGTTTCAGCACGGTAGAGCAATCAAGACAATGTTGCTAGGATAGTGAAGCAAATGGTAGAGGAGAAAAGCTATGTTATGCCCTTTTCACAAAAAAATCAGGAGGGGTAAAAAGCGACGTCAGGAAAAAACTGAGCTAAGGTATTGAGCATTTGCGGAAGGAATTTCTATTAACTGACAAGCGAGGGAAAAACTTACCGTCGGACTGGGTGGCCGAGTCAACCCTGTTTGTCTGAATGCATGTCGTCACCTTGATGACCGCATTCTGTCCTCCTCCCTGGGAAGGCTCCTGTTGTTGTTGTGGCTGTTGCTGCTGTTGTTGCACCTTTGTTGCCACTACTTTGCTATATTTGTGCTGCGGCATCATCGACTGGCGGATATTCTTCTCCGGGTGCAGCAGAATAATGTACAGCTTAGGCGTGAACAGGCACAAGAGGGTAACGGTGGCGCTGAGTGATATGGAGACAGAGAGTGTGGTGATGTTCAGGGCAATGTGGTTGCTCTGCGAGGAGGTGAAGTAGATGGGCACAAAAGCCAGCCAGATGATGCAGGTGGTGTACATGGTGAAGCCGATGAACTTGGACTCGTTGAATGCTTCGGGGATGTTCCGCGTCAGAACGGCGTACACCGTGCAAACGACTGCCGTGCAGAAAGAGAAAGAAAGAGGATAAAAGTAAATTTAATTAGCAACTTCAGACAGATTGAGCGAGTGTGCGCCACCGCAGCGGTCACTGTTCTGGTCGGTGCTTTAGCTTCACAAGCTTCACCGAGCCCATATGCGGATGCTCAGACTGTTTGCCAAGGCTCAATCACTACTACTGGCCCATTTTCTCTTTCTTTCTCTTTGTGTGCCCAGCACTGCACTCCCTTAAATGTTCCGACTCATTGTACAACTCGGATGCAATTAAGCGGTAATAAGGGGTTCGTGGATGGTTAATCGCAAATAAAGCAAAGATTAGTTAATTAAATTGGCGCAGCGACCAGCGCCCAACACACACAGAATGGCAAACTGTCGACTGTTTTAGCATTGAATGGTAGTGCCATTGGTGCAGTGCACTCCTACCCCCCTCAAACCTCGGTCGGTCGCTTCCCAAAGTTGTCTGCCCCAGTGTGTGTCTTAGGGCATCTCTTCTGCTATTGTTGTTGTTGCTGCTGCTGTTGGTCTAATTTAGAAGGGCGACGATTGTAGGGAAACGGCACTTAGCAAAAGATGAGGCGGTTGCGACAAAGTCACATAGTGAGACAGAGTACTACTGTACGCGTGCGGCATCTGAAGGAGTCATATTTGTCTTAGGCCATTGTCATTACCAATATTATTTGGTTATTAATAGAAATAGTCTATACTATCGCCGTAATGGAGGACGCTCAAATTCAATAACCACAAAAGTGGAATAGCGCAGGGTAAGCAGCAGACCATCGATGATGCATTATTTAGCAGCAGAAGAATCAGCAGCAGCACTCTGCCAAGCACTGTATCTGCTGCAGATGGCATTGAATGGTTATGTGGCGCCAATCGACAGTTTCACCCGCTCTAGTGAACACCGGTTTGGGCGCTGCGCATTGACTCCCTCCTAGTTCTGGAGCACTTCAGTTGAGACTGCAGAGTTGCATAGAAGTCGGTGCCAGAAGCTGCGGCAGCACATTTAAGTGGCGCATTAGCTCTAATGAAAATATTGTTGTCTTGATGAAGCGAGCACAGGCACAAGCGGGCACAAGCGCACAAACACACACATCAATGTACAATCAGATAATGAGAGAAAGGAATACACAGACATTATTGGTGGCGACAAGACAGACAAGACATTCACTGCTGTTCAATCACTTGCGCATTATGTGCAATTTACAGCTTGATAGCAGCCCCTCCTCGTTTTTACAGTCTTAAACTTTGAACAAGCCATTAGGGAGTTTTACCAGAAAACGAGTAAAGTGGCGTATAGTTGGGCAAACTAGATTCACTGTCATATTAGACTCAATTGACAAGAAAGAGAAAAAGGCAGTGTCCGAAGAGATGCAGCAATCAGGCAGTGAAGCAGCGGCCACTGTAGAACGGGCCATCACAGTTGGTCATCGAGCCAGAGCGACCCTTACAAGCTGGGTCCATTAGAGCAGCTGACAGTAATGACAGCCAACATGGACTACATTCATGTTGCTCTGTTGTTGATGCAAATGTTTCCACTAAATTAATTTCCAATATAAATTCTTCTAGTGAAATTTTTTTTCATACAACATGCAAGTCGATAATAGGAAGACTTTTCTGGTAATTAATGGCAGTGTGTGTGTGTGGGCACTGTTTTGTGAGTGGACAGTTCAGTGCAACAATTGACAGCAAGTCAGTGTCGCTGTGTAATTACAACATGCACTAGTAGTTATCACAATGCAAATATTGAGCCCCTTTTATGGTGGTGCGATTTCAGCAAAACCGATGAACAAATGGATGCATTGTAAATTTAAATGTTTTCAGTGAAACTAAATTAATGTCTAAAAGATGCGGGATTTAGAAAGTTTAGCTAACTAGTGAAAATAAATGGCTTCTTTCACTCTGGTTATTGCCAAAATGGCCGCTGTACATTTAAATGACTACTAATTACAAAACTGAATTAGAGTGGTTTGAAGCACAAAATAATTACACACAGACCAGAATAACTGCAAAAACAGTTGCGTTAAAGTCAAGCATAAAACTAATCAATTGCACAATGAAATAGAACGGCAGCTGGCCGGTATGTTAAAGTCACCAGCATGAAAGTCGCCACAATACTTGACTCAACTGACACACACTGCTCAATAGCAGAGAAAAACAGCATTTCAATTAAATCAAATTAAAACATCTTGCAATAGACCTACCACAGTGGACACTACTGCAATGCAACACTGAGCACATTCTTGCAAAGATGAGGGTGGTCAGAGAATCAAACAACAAAACATCGGTATTGAACGGGGACAGACACAATCTTTTTTAGAAGTTTGGAAATTGTTTCCATTTTTTGTTCTTTGCACAATTGGCCATTGACTGGCAGAATCAGGGTACATTCACAAACAAGAAAAAAATCTTAAAATGCTTTGGTAGTCTTGAAAACGTCAGCAAAGAGTACCTCTGCATGTACTTGCCTTATTGTTTCCTTCTGAGAAGTCAGAGAATTGGCTGCCTAGTAATACTATTAGCACGAGTTTGCTAAAAAAATAAGCAAAAGAATATGGCGCATTTTTATATTATACAGAAAATGCCACCGCATAAACGGCAATTTAAATTAGGCGCACCATCACTGCAAGAAAGCTATTACTTTTTATCTGCAGTCGTCGGCGCCGATGACGCGGTAAAGCGAACGATATTTGCCCGCTAATAAATACAAAGACCATTAAGGTTGTCATTTGTAGAGTGGGGTAAAGAGAGAGGCATTAGTGGCAATATTAATTCGCCTGATCCAACTGTCAATAGAGCAATGAATCTGCATCNTTGTAGAGTGGGGTAAAGAGAGAGGCATTAGTGGCAATATTAATTCGCCTGATCCAACTGTCAATAGAGCAATGAATCTGCATCGGTTTGCAGTGCTGCTGCCGCTGTTTTCTACTATTGTTGCAGCTGCTAAGCAAATACTGCAGTGGTGAAGGGAAGCAAATGTGGAAGGTTTCAGCTGCCTAGTGAGCTGATGCCAGAGCGATGAGTGCTGCCTGCAAGAAAAAGAAATAAAACTGTGCCTCTTGCTGGCGATGCCTTTTAATTGATTTATCTAGCCAACTGGTGTGCTGATACAGAGCACTCATAAAGCGCTCATGTCGCGCTATTCTTTTTCAAAGTATAAACTCAGTACACTGGTAGGCAGTAGTTTGCAGAGAAGGGGCACTTTGAGTTCACCAAGTTGAAAACAATGTCATTATCCAAGCGAAACAGTGTGTCACTACTGTTCATCGCCGTCTTTACGGCCAACTGCAGCTGATTGTGACCACTGACCGCTGGAAAATAAGGCAGTCAGTGCAAAAAATAGCAGTTTGGCGCAGTTTAGTGCTCACTGGCTGGGCCAAAATTCGAGCAGTCAATTATGAAATCAAATTGAACTGGCAATGAGTGGAATGCTATCCCTTCTAAGTAGAAATTTATGCACTAGAAAATGGCCCATTGCACATGATAAATGGTCGCAGCAACGGCTGCTACTGCCTTTCCAGTACTGCTGAAATCAATCGGCTTTATCTGCTAGCCAACAAGACTCTCTGTGTGTGTTTTTGTAAAAGTATGGTACAACTTTGGTAAAACTAAAAAACTGATAGTCGTCAACTGTCGATTTCCACCGCTGGGCGTCGTTTTGGCGGCAAAATGGCGCCGTTAGTTGACGGTGATAGGCACACAAACACATACTCCCATCATAGATTCGTGATTTGCTGCAGCCACCGTCGCCTTTGTGGCACTGACGTTGTCGGCAATTTGAATTTTGATCGGGCCTCTAAGCAAACAGTGTTGCTGCCACCGCCAAGTTAGTGCCATTTCTACTATTTGCAGTGGTGTGCACCCGTCTGCAAAGGATGGCACCATTTCGCACTCCAAGCAAATCGTTTCCAGGCAATTATTGGCAGCAATAAAAAAAACGGGAAGAGCTGCAAAAGCAGCTGATCAAAGTCAGATCGAGGTCAATCGCTGAGCGACTGCTCGTTTTTGTTTTCGGTAACTAAAATTCAGTTTAATGGTTTGTCTAATGCATGCAAATGATGCTCGATGATATAAACACATCTCCGTCAATATTGGAGCGAGCAATCGATGGCAAAGTACAGTAGTAGTGTGCAGTGTAGTAATGCATTGCAGGCAAGTGCTCATTAAGGGTGAGCAAAGTCACTTTAGAAGCCATTTGGCGGTATTTGTTGCACAGAAGCTGTTCGCCTAAGCGGTTGCGTGTTTCAAATCATCATCATCAGTTCTAATCGAGTCAAATTGAGCCGTTCACTTTGCTACAACTGTAATACATTAAAAGCGACACTTCCAAGTGTGCACAGCAGTACCACGACAGTAGGGCACTGCCTGCCGGCAGTCACACAGGCAATCTCGCGCTTTCAATCAGAAATTTGATTTCATAACAAGCTGAATATTGCCGAGTCTAATGTCATTCGGGAGTTTAGAGCTTAGGGCAGATTGGCTGAACTGCCATGTGCGGTTGTGTGTGTAGTTAAGCCTGTGGATGATGAATTGTAAGCAGTGACAGGCAGCGCAATGGCAATCGCCCCTGAGCGCCCTTTCGCCAAGACAATGACAAAATTGCTGGCTAGCAGTGGTAGTAGTAGTAGTAGTAATAGTAGTAGTTAGTTGGCGGCAAATAAATTGAAAGACAGTGTCAGTGTGAAATGAGTGGGCAGTGAAAGGGGATCGATGCTCGGTGGAGCGGCGAGCTAGCGAGCGAGCGAGTGTACCCACATCGACCGTGTCACCAGGGTACACGGATGGTCTTTCATCAATTGGCGACTTTAATGGCAGCGTTTGTTGGCACTTTTGAATATTAATGACAAATTGATCAGTTGAAACATTGCAAAATCAATACTGGCCCCTGCTATTGATTAGCAGCTCGCCTGGCAGCCCTGGCGATAAATGTTTAAATTGATCAAACACCGCCGCAGCACTAATGACTGCCGCCTCTTGCACACACAAAAACTGTCTGACTGTGTGACTGGAACAAGGCGGAGAATGTTATTTGCTGTTGCAGATAAGGAAAGACGACAGTGGAGAAAAAACTCAGAGAGCGAAGTAGAAGAGAGGCAAAAATTACAAAATTAGACTAATCTATACCATTGAAGAGAGATGATTTATGACTTGTATGATTTAATAAAAAAGCACACCATGGCGAGCAAATGTCAAACTTGTACATCGAGACAAATTGAGATATTTCCGGAAGGTCTCCACGCAAGCAGAAGCAAGAACGGCTGCTTTTCAAATTCAACTATTTTACGGCTCCTCGCTCTGTTGATCAGAGTTCACACACAAAGAGAAAAAAGTATAATTTTAATTGCTAATTAGTGAAATATAAATGGTTTGTTTGCACAGCCACCAGCTAAAGAAAGTGATGGTGCTGGTACGGCAGGGCGCAACAAAGCCAAGAAATGCCATCAGAGTGTAGACGGTGTGAGAAGGACAGTAGTAGTACCGTTAGAACACCAATGGATGCCACTGGCAGATGTGGCCTGCTTACTTGCTTGCAAGCAGCTTTAGATGGAAATGCACTCACTTTCCCGCTTGTGTGGCAGTTGTTGGAGCTGTCCCCAGTCGAGCAGGCAAATCAAACAGAAAAAATCGAGTGGACGCAAACGAATGACAGTGTAATATCAAATTGACGTACATTAGCAAGTCAAAGCGTATTGTCACTGCATTCGTATCTTGCAAAAACAAGTGTTTGGTAGAAAAGAAAAAAAGAGAAGAAGACTGATTAAATTGAGAATACACACCATTTACCAGATTGCCCTATTGTCTCTAGTATTGTTTCTTTCTTTTCTGTCTCTGCAGTAACCAGCAGTAATGCATCTTATAGAAAAGCAACTCAAACAACTTGGCAAAGTGAATGTCCAGTGTGCTAAGTAGTTTCATTTACTCAATATGCGCAAAAAATGCTTGCCGAAACAATGGCGTAGCTAAAGTAAATATGCACTGGACCGCACGCCGTCAAACGCCTGCTAGCAAACTAACAATAAGTTGAGGCTCATTGGCTGACCAAATTGACTTCGTTTAGACCGAAATTTCAATGCATGACAAAAAGAAACTTTAACAAAGCAAACAAAGTGTAACGCTCACATAAAAAGTAGTTACCAGGCCAGTGTTGCCCGAACAGACACAATGATCAAAAATGAGACAAAAAGTGGTGGAAAACCGAGTCAAAGTACCGAGCTACAGTGCACAATACAAAGTCAGGCAGCAGCAAGCACTTTGTAGAACAACAACAGCAGCAGCGACCAGTGGTCAAATCAATTACAAAGTGGCGAAAGCAGCTGGCCATAAGTCAAGTCTAATCTGATTTAACCTAAGCCGTCTCCATTCAATTTGCATCATGTACCCAGTGGCCGCTCTGTCTCGCTCTGTTTCTCGGGCAAACGGCGTCCGAGCACAAGTAAATACTTTTTCCCGCAATGCCTTTTATTCAATTCTCTTGATGCCACAACACACACACACACACACACACATAATCGCTCTGTAGTAACATAATTGCTAACCAAGGTCCGAACAGAACATAACATTAGCAGTGGTTATTTATAAATGGAAGAAAAACAACAAAAAATAAATGGCTCAAGATTTGCATGCTTTCTTCAAAATGAGCGAATCTAACGAGACAGTTTGTTTCTCGGAAAATAAGAAGAAGAAGAAATATCTACGGCAAAAACCGTTTTGCGGAAGAAAATCAGTGCTGGAAGAAGATAGCCAAGAAGCCATTAAATAACCTGGTCAGATGGCGGCAACGAAGGCACTTTTGCACTGGTGCAGTCTGTTCCAGTCAGAAAGCGGCGACTGCTGCTGCTGGTGGCAAGCCGTTGGCGGTGAGCAGTGGAGCAAGTCAGAAGGCAATGAGCACATTTCAAAGTAAACAGTGTGACCACAATTGGAATTAGTACTGCTGTACGCCTGCTGAATGCTAGCTCACAGTTCGGAATAGTGCTGGAGGTTCTGCCGCCAAGACAACAACAACAGTGGCAGACTGAGCAACAATATAAATGAACGGTTCGTTACGCTGCAGCTGGCCAGTGGCCACTAATTAAGTGTGATATATAGTGGAGGACAGTGGAGAGAGAGAGAGAGAGAGAGAAGTGAGAAGGATCCTGCTACATACCGATGAGGATGATGGGGTAGATAAAGGCCACCAAATATCCGGCGTTGATGGAGGCCTGACATATGAGCTTGTTGTCCTCGCGCGTCGGGTGGTAGTTGATGACTCGCGGCGGTGAGAAGGCCAGCCAGATGACGATGATAAAGAGCTGAATCATAACGAAGGCGCCGCAGATTAGCAGCTGCGATTTAGGACTAATAAAGCTGGGTCGACGTGCCGACTTCTTTCCTGCTTTGAATATTCGGTTGATGCGGTTCGTCTTGGTGAGCAGGGCGCTGTACACCACCGAAAAGCACAGGCCGATGCCTGCCTTTTGAGCTCCGCAGATCACAGTTGTTGGCTTCTGCACCAGAACAAATGTCTGGGGGGGGGGCGAATAGACAGG